GAGGAAAAGCTTGAGGAATTCGCAAAACGTTGATTTCAGTGTAAATGCATCGTGATCGATGTACCATGTACCAATCACGGCATTTCATATTCAACATCTGATGTAGTAAAAATATTGGTGCATTTGGACAAAATATTAGAAGATTTTTGTTATGACTGAAATGTCTGTACTTGTCTTAAAAATTTTAGCATAGATTATCATTCATTACTTATTTTACGCATTGATCTTTATTGCCAACTTTCGAAAAGGCGTACTTTCGCTAAATCTTTTACAAAAATGGTTATGCTGGATTTAAGTTACCTTTTTTATTATTAACGATCAACAAAAGCGTAATCTCAAGCTTATTAAGTTAGTTCATTTCCAGTTAGTTTCAAAATGTTTAACTTCTGCTATGTAATTAACACCAGGAAAAAGAAAACCCTCGACGATGCCGTTTGGAAAATGTGGCAAGCCTGCAGCAAAGGCTTCCAGCGAGGCGCACGACGTCGGTGGGCAAGTGGGGGAGGGGGAGGGCGTGGCGAAGGCAGCGCGAGGGATTAACGCGAGGTTGAGGCTGAAAAGCAGAGTGTTAGGAAGAAGCTGCAACTCGGGTTGCGAAGCGAAATTTCACTGCCTGGATATCTCAATGCGGAGAATTCGAGGCAAAGTTTGTAGCATTAAAGCAGTCGTTAAGAGACATTCCTTCTATTTACACTTTTCCTCTGATGCGTTTTGACGTTAAATTTTGCCGGAATGTTATTTGTGGATGTTTCAAATAGCTTATGACTGCACAGACATTCAACTTTAAACAAATAATTCTCGCGAACACTGTCCCTTGCTTTCGCTATTTGCTTTGATCTTACGAGAATAAATGAGTCATAAATAGAGGATGCAGTTTTTGTAGTTGTTGATGCCTATATGCATTTATGAATTTAATTAGTAGAAAAAAGTATTTGCAAAATTGAGTTTAATCAGTTTTATTAAGATCCTTATATTATCGATATTTGTTCTTGTGAGTAAAACATATTTTGAAGTTACGTAACAAAACATATAATTGTAAAAACGTAACTCATCTGTATCTTGATATATATGTTACTGTTATTACATACTATTTTATGTGTCAATATAAACCTTGATATTAAGTTTTATCAATTAATTCCTAGTCATGCATCCATGTTGTATTACATAATACCTAAATGGCAGATGCCAAAGCAATAGCAAAAAAATCATTTCCGTTCTCACGCCGACGTTTATGTATTAAGGAACAGAATACTTTTACACATCCTACAATTTAACTTAACGTTTTGGTTTACCTGAGGGAGTTTTCTGCCTTTTATTGAGCATTATTTAGCATTATTTAAATATAGCATTATTTGTTCGACAAAACTACTGTGTTAATATATAATTCATTGGTGATTATGATAAAAGAATATTCTGCTTAAACAAAGATGTTAATTTTGTTACCATGAGCTTGAACGGCTGCAAGAGAGTTAATAAAAACTGCTGTGAATTGAAAGTTCATTACTCACTACAAACAGGTGTCTCATTGAGTGGAACATTGTTTTCTCAATCATAGGTACATTTATTCTCGCCTCGTTAAAAAAAAAGTACAATGAGATAGTATTGAAAAACATTGGAATGTAAATAAACGTAAAATTACATCTCTGAGCGTTTATGAATGGAAATTACTTGTATTCAGCTATCCACGAATGATTCATTACTACTAACATACAGCATACTTATATTCATGAAGCATTTACTGGAAAATACGGTATATTGTTATGTGTTAAGACATCATAAATGAGAAGGAAATGGTCGTCATGCAAGTACCAAATGATGTGAAACACAACCACGTTTTCCTCAGGGTGCCAAACGTTAAATATTATCGGGTATAAATAATACTATAAACAACGACGCGATAAGCAAGTGGAATTATGATTGTCTTTCTATATTTCGAGAATATAAACTTGTAATTATTCGTATTATCAATTGTTTACAATCATGATATTATTTTTTAAATTGTGCATACGCAAATAAATTGAATTATTCAAAATTGAATATTTTTTAATGGAAGAGCTTTCTGTGTATGTTTTTTGAAGGAATGGTGCACTACCACTTTTTGATTATTTAAGTTGTTTCATCTCATATTACTTCACTATCATATTAATCATCTTCAATGATTTGGAAAAGATTTTGAAAATGAATTAACACACTATTGATGTATTTGTTCGCATATATTATTAATTGAAATTAATGTTGATAGAGTTTTGAGAGCTTTTAAAGTGCCAGGACTATACCTTTATATCTCTAGAAAGAACAAGGTGAGACTGTAACCTTCGCCCAAATAGAAATGCACGAACAGAAGTAGCATACATTTTTTAGACAGTTCCAAGCTAGTATATCATAAGAGAAATAATTGTTGACAGAAATTAGAAATCGCAGCGTGTATACACATTCTTGAGACAATTTCAGAGCAAGAAGAAGTGCAGGATTCCCTAACAGAAAATAAAGATAAGTTTTACCACATCATTAAATGATTGCTATAGGAATGGGTAATTGACTCAAACCGAAATGAATAAGATTATAATACCTGTAATTAGTAAAAGTGGCGAATTTTGTAGGACAATCTTAAAGAAAATGAGTTATCAGAGCGTGTCGAAGGTTAATAGGAATTGCAGTAGCTCGATTCTCCAATCTTACAATATTTGGTTAAGTAGGAGAAAAATCATTTTACACTGTACCCCTTTAGCAAACGCTGAGAGAGCATTAAATACTAATTTATACGTACTTCATGCACAGTTTATCTCACATTCAAACATAATCTTAGTTTTGAAGTTGTAATATGATTAATCAGTAAATCAAGGGAGAGGTGTAAAGTACACCTAATCCGCAGATTAACGCACACAAAGCTTCTGATATTATATGACATTACGAACGTCACGTGTGTTAATGTAAATTAAACATATAACTTCCATTGCCAAATGAAATTACCTTCGGCGTAGAAATTGTTAGGATTAAACGGATTTAATTTCATTTAGTACTTGAATAAATATAAAATAATTGTTGTGGCATAAACAGATTCCATCGTGATCAAAGTAATACAAGTGATCAAAGCTATGTTGTGACAATCGTCGCGAAAATAAAATCAAAAGTAATTTCATGACCTGACACGGTAATAACAATAATCTAAATGTTAATCATCACGTTTTTTTCGAACGTTTATAAAATTTTACAGGGGTTTTCACTCAAATACAATAATTTTTTCATATAATTATTATCTGCAATCTTCTCGAGAACTTCATGTTGTTCTCGATTACCTCAGATAGTCAGTTTACCTGACGGCGACCATTTCCGGAAATGTTTGTTTCCCTGCTGACAACTAAAACTTGGCAGTTCTGGTAGAATGCCGTACATTTTCTAAAATTTTTTAACAAAGAATGCACTTTCTTGCCCAGCCTTTGTCGATATTTCTTATAATAAAAGTTCAGAATACTAAAAAAATTAAAACTTGGTACTTTTTTAGAAAACATTACAGAATGAACTATTTTCAAGCATTTGTATACATGGTGGCTTACTAGAGATGCTCCTCTCTATTATATCCCCCAACCTTTTCGTGTTTACAGATGCGATATTCCATAAAATTATTGTATGAGTATATACATCGTCTACATATAATTTAGCTATATAATATAGTAGCCTTGTTATTGCGTGGATATTTATTTCGTGTGTGAAATAGTGCGAAGGAAATAACGTGAATTAGTGATGTAGTGTTTCTATTCATTCATACAGCAGAACTTGTTAAGCAAATAGATTTCAGTTTATTTTTTAACTAAAATATCAATCATTGTCCACGATATAATTGCACGTATCTGTTAGAGAAGAAAAGGAATTCATTCTGTCAATAATGTAAAGTGAAATAAATGTTATTTATTTCCTTGCCTCGCCCTCGCCCATTCCATCTCGTTTCACCCTGTGTACCTCTTCTCCGCATATCCTCTCTCCCGTCTCAACATGTCCAGTCCCGCTCGCCTCTTCCCGACCTGTCATATCTGGTTTCGCATTGATATTTATTGCGGGTTGTGTGCTTCCTATTATATATTCATGGAGTTATATTAGAGAAAATTAGTAAGTCATCTTAGTGTGATAGAGCTCTGTGAAAATCCCAAACCCTTTTGGGGTAAACGTAAAACAAAATGGTGAAAACTCCATTGATATATGCTCAGCCGATTTCACGTTTTAGTGTACAAACAGACGCGAATGGGTGATTGTTTTATGTATTATTAAGTATTCAACTGTAGACAAAATACGCTATTACTGTGAATGTGAATGAATTGGTTCTAGGACTCTGGTGTGATAGCTCAGTTTGTTGAAAGTGCAATGCCCTGTCGACTTTAAACACAATCTGTGAAAGGGCAGAGTGTCACATTTGACATAATAGACCTCTGGCGCAGCCCCATTGATGTTGCACGCTTGTGTGTTGTGTCAGGTGGCGTGGGGCGCCGATGCGGCGGGCGGGGGCGGAGGGTGAGTGTTGGGTAGTGACCCTGCGCCTCTGTTACAACCAGTCTTTGCGTTCCCCCGTTCCCAGACGGGCCTTGCTCGACCTGGGGCGGCGCCTCGCCCGGGGAACCGGCACGGCGCGGCCGGGCCCGCGCCCCCCCGGCCCCCCCCCCCTGCTACGCTCGCGTCCACCACGGTGTCGACAGCGCGTTGTTCTACAGTGTCGCCCCTTCCGCCGCCACCGCACAATTCCTTACATTGCATGTGCTATGTTTAGCGGGTTGCCATACTTTTTACAATCTATTATTCGAGTTATTTTTCAAACTTTTTTTTTTGTTACGGGTAGTGCTAAATTCTTTGTATGAACTTGCGTGTCTTTCTATAGAGCTCAGACGAGTTTCATGGTATTTTGTTTCAAAAATTTTAAAACTGTATTTTTTGACATCTCTCGAGTCTTCTTTATTTCAATTTGGTGTATTTTTATACATTATCCTATAACATCCAACAGTTGAAGTAATCGTATGCGAACAGCAACTTTGTTTTACGTATTTTTAAATTGGCTATCTATTGTTGTGTGTGTGTTGTTGTTGTTGTTATGCCCCACATTGACGGAGCGCGTGCGCTCGTGTGTTGCGGCAGGTGGCGCGGCGGGGGCGGGGCGTGGGGCGAGGGCGCGGGCGGGGCGGCGGCGGCGGCGCGCGGAGGAGGAGGCAGCGCGTTGCCGCGGCGGCCTGGCCGCCGCCCTGCTGTCGCTGGCGCTGCTGTCGCTCTGCCTGTCGGCGGCGTGCTGCACGAGCAGCCGGCCATCGTCGCCTACGAGCCGCCGCCGCGCTCGCCTGGGCGCCAGGGCGGAGGGCGCGGGAGGAGGAGGGGGCGGCGCGGCGCTGCTGCGGGCGGCGGTGGCGGCCGCCACGGCCGCCGCCCCGCCCACCGACGCCGACGAGGACGACGACGCGGCCGCGCAAGGTGAGGAGCAAACAGCAAGCCACGAAGAGCGCCAAGTGTTCCTTTTTCTTTCTCGTATTTCGTTGTCGTTTTTTGTTGGTATTTTTGGCATTACAACACTAAAAATCACCTTTTTCATCACAAGAAACCGTTCAAAATTAGTTTTTTTCAGGGCAGATTATAACGTATTTGCCGTTTAGGGCACAAATAATTCTGTCATCACCATTGTGTCAATTGCAACGAGAGAATCGTGTGGAGGTAGCGTTAAACGTAACAGCCAATCACAATTTTTGCGCTCTAAAGTTGCTTCTCAAAATTGATGTTGATTCTTCTAAAAATGTATAATGCTGTTATACAAAAAATAGCGCATGCAACTCGTTTATAATGTTGTTTTATAGCATTCGTACATGTTTGAAAATTCTCTTTACGACACCTGTTTTCAAAACGTACTCATGCAATAAAGCTTAACATATAAACTACTTGCGTAAATGTTTTTGTCTGTGAGTTCCATAAACGATTTTGTTTAACATTTGCTAAAAGTTTAGTTTTTTCTGAAGAAAATTGTATACACATCATTGTGAAATGAACTATTTTAACATTTTAAAAATTTTCTTCCTTTATCTTCCATATATAAAAATGGCAGTCTCTTTGGTTGAAAGTCTCTTATTTACGTTAATCGTTTGAACGAACTAAAAGACTGTTTTTCACTAAATGTTAGAGAAAAGTTCTTTCTTTATGTTGTTTGCCGTGAAAAACTATATATTCTGACTCTTAAGGGAGAAAACTGATTTGTTTACTTGTTACCATGATGTAGTGATGGATTTCAAAGAAGGATGAACCTCGATGCTGATTTCTGAAACATAACATTGTTGAACACACGTGTCGCATTATCTCAGAAACTCTCCCAATAATAAATTTAAATTATTTGTTGGAAATCAATTAAGAGATCATTGAATAAATATAAGTTTTCAAAACGAAAACGGTAAGTTTCATACTTCAGGTTTTCTGAATAAAAAATATTAAAAAAATAATGTTCTTTTTACTTTTACTTCAATTACTCTGTAAATTGCAAAAACCATTCCAAAGACATAAATTTGCTTGTATTTACCATTTCCACTTAGGTGCTTCTAGAATTTTACAGAACTAGGTTGATTAGTTTGTTAGACATGACGGAACTTGAATACGTTGAAGTCAAATCTCAAGGAAGTGGTCTGGACTGACTGAATTCATACTGAAAATGCATTATTAAGACAATATACATTTATAAAACCAGATTACTTAAAGCGATATATGACATGATTAGAGAAGATATTGATTTTCGCTGAAATTGGTAACCTATTTCGATATTGATAAAGGGCTTTCAATCTCAAGAAAGCAGCCCAGTATTTAGTCATGACAACTTTAATTCTCTACATTGCAATTATCATCGAAACATTGTATTCTTACTCTGATACATATCAGGAATAAGAGTATATGTGAAAAAATCAGTAGATTAATAAAGAAATAAAAAGGATATTTAGACATTATATCAAGATCGATACATTACAGAAACATTAGGTGCGAATGCATCAAAGTATTTGTGAGTTCCAGAGACAGAGAAAATGAGAATTAGAGGCGGTCGTGTTTCCATTTTTAAATATCAATAAAATTATTTTTTTTCTAAAAATATTTTTTTATTTATCCTGTTAAGATCTTGTTTGGAAATAATTTTTTTGACATTTTATACTTTCCACTTAAAGCGTTTTAACGTCAGTTGAGAAAAAATAGTACCATCTTCAATAGAGAAACATTTGCCTACAGTCACTGCGAACTCAAAACGGAAACGTTTTCCGCTCGCTGAAGTTCTCAATTTCCGTTTAATCAAGCCACAAACCGCTGCTTCTAATAGATTGAGCGTTCTAGCGAGACTGAATTAGGCAACACCATTCACGCTATTTCCAGCCGCAATGCAATAAAGTGCCGCAGTCATAAACCTGTTTTGTCGTATTGGTCGTAGGTCGAAGAATGTCTACCTGAAACGTGGTTCACACAAGTTGCTGGAACAGTGCCTATAAATGCATGGAGAGAGAGAGAGAGAGAGAGAGAGAGAGAGAGAGAGAGAGAGAGAGAGAGGAGAGGAGAGAAGAGACAGACAGACAGACAGACAGACAGATAGACAGAGACACACAGACACAGACAGACAAACGAGAGACGCATACAGACGCCAAACAGAGTAGACAGACACTGGAAGCTCCAGAGGGCCGTACACACTTTTGAGATTTTTGAACACCTGATTCATAGTGTGGTGTATATAAATGAGCTAAACCTACAAAAATATTAGATCCAAAAACTTCTCAGTTTATTTAAAGACTACAATCTTTAAATCATAGTTGAGACTCCCGAAAATCCGTTTTTAAAGACCTTCATTGCGGAGGTTTCGTATGCCTGAAGCTATCGTGTGTTGCGGGTTGCATAAACACCTGCTTAATTCTTCGCGGTATATTCTATAAATATTATATTTTTCGTTTTAAAATAGTTTGATACACCCGTCCAAGGTTCATTACGTATCAATCAGTTACGATTTACGTATTTTTGTGACTATATCTTCGTATACAATGGACCTTACCGTGGACTGTGCCCTGCAGCATTTATCCAACGTGGAAAAATATTTCCAGCTGACTCGGTAGGACCGTATACTTCAAAAATACTTCAAATACTAAAAATTTGGAATTAAAAGTACAAGATTAATTTAAAATTCAGGATGTAGAAAACATTCAGAATTGTTCCTCTACAAACTGTACAATGGCGGACTGTAATAAGTTGCCTGCAACGTTTGAAGTTAGTTCACGTATGCAGACATTTTTACTTTAAAAACAATTATTTACAAATTACAGAACGTTTTCACAAGACGAACGAATAGAAAAATTATCAATATCCTGTCAAATAATTATATATATCTTTTGTACTATACTGAATATAATTTTGCTTATGTATATGCTATGGGCAACATGCGTTACTATCATTCGTAACTCAAAAACTGTGCAGTGGAGGTCTTTAAAAACGTGATTTCGAGACTCCCAGAGAGCCCGAGCTTCGTACATTGCTATATATAACAAATGAGATTTTTTTGATATTATTTTATATTTTTTTACGTTTAGCTCTACTAGTTATCCAAAAAATGCCTAACAACTAATAGATAGGAGTTTTAACCAACTGTAAGCATATGATTCCTGCAGTACATAATTGAATAGGGTTGCGGAGAAAGGGAACAACTCATTTCTTGCCAGATTTCAGATAGAATAAAACATTAAGTAATACTCACACATGTTACATTATCATGTCCATTGTTTCTGTGTGAATTCACTAGTAACATCTGCTTACACTAATTTCTAATCACAGCTACGACGTTACTATTTTCTTCACAGTAAATTTACCTTGTGTTTAAAAACAACTCTTCACCATAAGCAAAAAATTGCATTTTTGACTTGTTCCCTTCCTTCTGACGCTGATTCGCTTGTACAAAGGGAATATAAAAAGCCTCCCGGTTGTAACGCGTCGTCGTGCGTGCGCAGGGCGGGTGCACTTCGCGCGCACGTCGCGCCGCCTGCCGCAGGCCATCATCATCGGCGTGCGCAAGTGCGGCACGCGCGCGCTGCTGGAGATGCTGGCGCTGCACCCGCGCGTGCAGAAGGCCGCGGGCGAGGTGCACTTCTTCGACCGCGACGACAACTACCAGCGCGGCCTCGACTGGTACCGCCGCCGCATGCCGCACTCCTTCCGCGGACAGATCACCGTCGAGAAGTCGCCCTCCTACTTCGTCACGCCGGAGGTAGGTTGACGGCTCTGCTGGCGCGACAGTGGCTGTGGATGTTAGTTACGTAAGTGTAGTGCATGTTTATATCGCGGGAGGTGGCTGTGTTGTTCCCCAGCTGTATGGTGCGCACCACTAACACGCGGAGTTGCGTGGTTTTCACCATCCAGGTATCTCTCACCAGAGGGGAAGGTACTTAACTTCTCAAATCAATTCTCGTGAATGTAGTGTATGTTGTATCGCTGGAGGTAGTCCGTTGAAACGAGTTTCCTGCACCTTTGGTATGTGAGATCCGGTGCCAACCTAAGTCAGCTTGAAGGGTTTCCCCCGCCAGGTATCTTTCCTGCGGAACACCCACCCCCATCTGGAACAAGCTCGAAGTTCCTCTGTGCTATCCCGACTTGTGTAGTAAAGTAGTGCGTGTAAGAGTGTGTAAGGGAAGTGAAGAGTCAAGTATGATGCATCGGGCGCGAACCGCAGTCCACTTGCTAGGTTCAGCATTCGCCTGGATAGATCAAACCATACAAAACTACTGATCAGAGAAACCGGCCGCTAGAATTATCCCCCAGACAAAATAAGGAATTGGTTTGCATCAAGATGCACTAATATTCGGTGTGCACAATAAACAAAATGTCTCTGAAAGTTATGCATACGACGTCTCAGACGGATTGAATTAACTATTCCGTTAATTCGGTAAATTATCCCCAACCAGATCACCGTCGAGAAAATGTATTCCTACTTCGTCAGGTCAGAAGTTAGCGACGTGGTGTGCATTACAGTGCAAAAATATTTTATGTGCTCGATGAAAAGCGCCACCTGATGATTCATCAAAGAAGGTCATGATCATGTGAATACAGTTGTATCTTGCCGTTTTTTCTCACCCACGAGATAAGTACCGCTCCTCAGAAAAGTGTGATTTTTTATGAAACATCACGTTCGATACATCAGGAACAAATATTTAGTGAATACGTTTCACCCAATACGTTTCACGAATTTGTCACCTATATTATTAAAATAATTTTTTGAAAATCTATATATCTTCCTTTCACGTTTTAATTTTTGAAATATAAGATCTCACGATTGATATAATTTATCTCCTCCCAAAAACCAAACATGGCTAATGAACATGACCATTTTCAAGAAACAATTCCAGTTCACTTAAATGTGCTTGAACGCTATTCTTAATTCAAAGTATTGGCGTTGGAGGCTCCTTTGTTCCTCTATAATTTCCACTTTTGTTTCCTATGAAAAAATGTTCACTGCTTAAATCCTCCGTACCTACGTGAATATCTTTGGGAGAAAAAATCCCAAATATCCCAATGGTCTTCATGACCTACGCCTCGCAGTTTCTGGCGAGCGTGGTTTTGCGATAGCAGCAGCGTCGAGCTAAAAATTATTGACACAGCAGCCGCCTCATGTAAATGAACTGCTTCAATGCTCAGATTTTGCGAAATTTTAAATTCAAATGAGAGCTTCGCCGCTTCTTGTTGCACTCGCAAAGATCCTTTCCTCGCTAAGAGATATAAAATCGGCGAAACGCCGTCTTTATTTAGACCAGGGATTTTCCAAACTTTTGAGAAGGAGAGCTTGCTACAACCTTGAACTGCAGAGGATCAGTTGGCCATTGTATATTTGTTATAAATAATAATGATAATAATAATAATAAATAAAATAATAATAATATAATAATAATAATAATAATAATAATAATAATAATAATAATAATAATAATAATAATAATAATACTAATAATAATAATAAATATAATAATAATAATAATAATTTGGATTCTCTTACGTACGAGAAATTTTCACCGTTGTCGACCAGTGAAAAGCGACATTTTAATTTTCGCTTCCAGTCGGCGGATAGGGGTGGCACAAAAATATTTATATTTAAAAATGTATGTTTTTAAGAATAAAATTAATCAAACATTCTGTAGAAATATTGTTTATTTTTAGACTCACAGATGCTACCTATTTTAAATATAATCTTAAAATTAATTCGACAAATATAAATTACAATTCTAAAAAGGCAAGCTTCTAAAACGGCATTGTAGATAAGACGTTTTGTAAGCAGCGCCCTCACAACCCTTTGCACTCAGGCTGCCGATTTATGGATTATTGTTCAATTAAACGTTAATTTTTAACTGGATTTGAACAAGGTATGAAAACTCTGAACACGGGGTTTACGCCAGGGATCTCCAAACGGATTTGACTCAATTATATATTAGTGATTTTCACCATGTACCACTTTTTTACATACGACGGATTTGCCTGACATTCTCAGAGGCACTAGTCATCTCTTAATCTCTAACCAGCATTGCATCCCTTTGTTTATTTCCAATGTCGACTTCTGCAAAATCTCGTTTCAAAACAACGCCGGCCGAATGAAACTTTGTCTCTGGCCGGATTCTGCTCTCGTGTTGTACTTTGGGTACCCCTGATTCAGACCCGTGCAGGTGTAAGGAGGTCGGATGCTTTTAGAGAAGAATCGCGAATAACGCTTAGTTATAGAAAGTTAATGGGATGCAAAGCAATGCAAGCTGCGCCGTCTAGACACGAACCCAATCCCACAATTCATAGGCGAGGATTCTAAACAGCAGACAAGCGCCTTCCGCAGCTCCCAGGCGAACGGGAAGGGGAGGATCCGAAGGCCAGGAAGAAGGAAGGGGGAAGAAGGTCAAGAGCTAGTGGAAGGGGGAGGATAGGGGAGGGAAATTATGGACTACGGTGTATAAACTGAGAGAAAGGGCAAATCTAGATTTTCGATATCCCAAAAAGGGAAGTTAATACTATGGGGTAAATCTGCAAAACAAAATTAATATCTTCCATTACAATCCAATCCATTCGTATATGTAGTATCGCTCCCCTTGTTCACAATATTTTCAATGCTAATTTGGGAGATTGATTAGTCCTTCAAATACAACTTTTTTAAAGAATTGTCGATATTGTCCTCGACGATTCGCATCTTAATTTTCTTTAGAACTTTAATTTCAAATTTATCTCTATTGGAATTAAAAATTATCATGAAACCTAACATGCGTATATTGTTTAATTGTAAATATAATGGTGTACTATGCACTTCTCTGCAATAACCCTATAATAAACACGAGAATTTGAACTCAATAACCTAACAACTGAAAGCAGAGGCACATCACCGAACGCAACCAGAAACGGCGCGCCTGAAATTGACCAAAAAGGTCTCACTCGAGAAAAGAAGTTATCTCAACAGAATAGGATCTCGTTTATAATGGAGTCGGTAAAATTCGATAGTTGAGTTTTGAAGAAATTAAGAACACGAATATACTTTTGCAACATTCTTGTGTGGTGTCAGGATCTCGTATGATGTCAAACTCGATTAATATTTCATTACTATGAACATGATCTGTGACAAACATTCATTAGAAGAAATATTGATTTAAACCTCTAATACGATCGATCATATGTGAATGATGAAAGATTCAATAGTCAGCAACATCCTACGTCACAGTAATTTTGCTTTACAATAGTAAATATGACCTATTTAAAACAGCACAATCAGATTGTCTTACGTCTTACGACGACGTCATATAATGTTTACGAGTCTTAAACATACCATGGTGACTTGAACTTCTATAAACGAAGTTTTTTGTTGATTTCAAAGATAAGCTTCAGAATGAAGTAGGAAACGTTTGTCTAGAGTATAGCCTCCAATGTTTTGTACTAGTGGCAATGGAGTAACCATGAAGCTGTATTTCCTAATTTGTCAAGTACTCGCTGGGCCAATAAAAGCAGTGCCGTGGGGTAGAAATTGGACTTCCGTGATTCCGAAGAGACATTGAGAATCACTTCTCGTACTCATTGAGAGTGGATCATGAGAATAATGATAGTAAAAAGCATAATAAAGGGTCGAGTTTCCTAAGGAATCCACATTCACTTCTCTCCCCCCCCCCAAAAAAATGAGAAAGTGTGAGTCAGTTTCTACAAATACAACTCACGATGTTGTACATTAGATTTCTTCTGTTTTTTATAGGTTTAAAGGTATTCTGCAACGAGATTTGTTTTGATAATCCGTTTATTTGCAATATATTTCTGCGAAAATATTCGGCAAATTGTGAAAGAACGTTTATATGAGTGGGAATATTACTAAACAACAGCAATACTATTTTTACATAAATCGGTGCATTGTATCTAGCGGTTTATACCCTTGTAGTCATCTTGTTTATTCACCATTGCCTAAAAGGTTATTAGCGGGATGATTTGGATGGTTTTCTAGCCTTCTGTGATATTTGTAACTCGCAGATGTTATTCCTTCTTTGACCGTTTGATTTTAAGGTCACTGCAACGCGTATTATTGCTGGCAAACTAAGTTGTTACGTATTGAAGATTTGAACTGGAATCGCTATAGAATTTCAATGTTTGATACGCTGGCTATGCTCCAAGCTTCAATATCGTAGCTTTGTATGTTACACGATGCACAATACTTTTATTTAAAAGTATTTCGTTTGTATGCTAAATACAAAATGTAATATCAACTTTTGCATTTTAAATGGCAAAGAAATAAGACGATTTGAAGACGAAAGACACGGCCACATAGGCAGTTAAAGTAAAAACAAAAAAGAAAAGCCTCGGTCTCGACTTTCGAATGCCAATAAACTTCAGCGCCATCTTGCGAATGAAAAAAAAACAAGTGAGAATCGTGACCTCCGCCCGCACACGTGAGAATGGAGCGAGACGAGGCGCGGTGCTGAAGGTTAAAAAAGCAGCATTTTATGTTATGGAGAAGGAACTCTGTGTTTGCCCAAACTTGTCCACTTTCCAAGTTTCTTCTCGATTCCCTAATGCCGCATTTCCCTAAGCGCCACAGCCCCCACCCACGCAGTTAGCCTTCCCTCCCCTTCCCCCCTCCACCTGAGGCGCCCACGCTGCCTATCTTCACAATACCGCCATTTTGCGATGTTTTGCCTGCGGGAGCAGTTTGAGCAGCTAGGATGGTTCACAGGCAAGGTTTCTGTTCTCTCTGCAACTACACTGACCCGGAGATCCTAGTGCCTTAAGAAATGAACTGGCGTTTGTTATCTTTCCTTTCCTATCACTTCTCCCTCCTCTGACCGTACGAACATCTACTTCCTAACATGCACTACAATAAACTATGATTGTTGTATTGCATGTGGGCTATGACTGTAATGTGCAGTTTACCTGGCGTTTTCTTATAACGATTTATTATATAACGATATAACTTATTTCTGTAAACCTGTATTTAAAAGCAAATGTTATTTGAATCAGTATAATGGAGATATTAAATGCATTTTGGTATTATAGAAAAATAGTAATAGTACTATAGAGTAAATGTAAAATGTATTTGTAATCGGCTCTTGAGGGGGTCTGCAGTTCCGTGTGACCATTGGTCTGAAGCATAATTTGAATTATACGTATTCGTAACCGTAAACGGTAATGAAAATTAAGCATTGACTTAACTCTAAGTCATTAGGCTTGATTGTGATCTATTGACTCTGCAACATATTATAGAGTTTCATCGAAAGCGCATATGGACGTTTTTAAGAACTCATGAAAAATCAGCCTTGCGTGAACGCAACCCGCTTTACGCGAATGCCATGAAAATTGCCTACTAAGCTGAGTCCAAGGCGCCAATTACAGTTGTCAGCCAAATTGTAAGATATAATGCACGTTTTGATAGTAATTTGATAGTACTATAATATATATATATATATAATATTATATTATATATATATATATATATAATTTTTACATTTATAAGATACACATTTTAACATTTCTTCTCACAACGAGAAAGTTGATATATGCTTTCTCTTGTGATAAGCAAAGCAAATCATTATGTGTTTGGAGTCGTTCTCACCACTGTTGCTGAGAAATGTCATTCAACCTCTGAACATCCCTAGATATGTGAGTGGTGAATTATACTTCCCTATGCCTTCCAGTTAACATTTTATCTCCGGCAGCACCGCCTTACAAAACGCCCGCGCCCGCGTGGAGCAACTGCTGCCGATCGAGTCCCCCTACCCCTGCTCTTCTCCATTCCTTTGCACCGTTCTCACATCATCTCGCAACTGACTCCCATCGCCTGGATACTCCCCGAACCGATTCACTCCGCTTCCACTCTCCTCGCCTCGACTCCCCCGCCACGATTCTCCCGCCACGACCCTCTTCTGAGAGTTTTCCATCAATAACACCCGAATAATTCATTTGATTATCCATTAATTACGTGACACTGATGCAGAGAGTACACGCAGCGGTGTACTCTTAGAGAGTACCTCTTTAGGCGCAGGTCGCCGTTACAAATTCACGGAATGAACGCGAGTGTCCTTCTTTGGGGTGTTCATACATCATTACGGCATACAAAGTCATCACAATCTGCACAAAAATGTGTAGATGTGTTCTTTGTATGCCCAGGTTGCGCAACCAAGCGACCGCACTTCATGAAGATGTCGTAGTGTAATCCCATATATGCGCAGGTTTCGAAGCGCATCCACACGCTGAAGGTGAACACACTTCAAGGAGATGCCGGAGTGTGACACTTTCCCCCCATATGCGCTGATGCCGGAGCGCATCCCCGCGACGAAGGCAAGCGTACTTCATGGGGTCGCCATAGTGTGACGATGTTCCCATAAATGCGCAGGTCCCGGAGCGCATCTACGCGATGAACGCGAGCGTGCGCCTGCTGCTGATCGTGCGGGAGCCCGTGACGCGCGCCATCTCCGACTACACGCAGCTGCGCAGCCACGCGGCCACGGCCGCCACCGCGCAGCAGCAGGTGCAAGTGCAGCAGGCGCAAGCGCAGTCGCCCGGCCGGCCGCCCCCGCAGCCGCCGCCCCCGCCCCCGCAGCCCCCCAGGACCTTCGAGCAGCTCGCCCTGCGCCCCGACGGCTCCGTCAACACGGCGTACCGGCCCCTCGCCATCTCCATGTACCACACCTACCTGCACCGCTGGCTCGAGGTAAGGCTTCCATGTGCCCACATACAGTGCTCGTACGTTCAAAGAGAGGATTTTGTAGTAGCGAAGGTGAATGATTTCTACTCCATACTGTCCAGAAGTAAGAATAACATGACTCGTAGGAATGGGGCTTCATTCGTATTAGTGTTATTACTAATACTATGGTTTGTTTTTATTATTTCAGACAATGCTCACAATTATTATGATATAGTTATTTAATGTTTCACTCACGAGTATTGTAATAACACTTGTACAAACGTTTTTCAACGTATGTTCAACGTACGAATGTTCTAACTTTCCCTTCAGGGGCGAAGAAATTCTCTGAATTCAGGTTCCTTAGATAGCATTCACTCTGGTTCTTCGAGTAAAATGAAAAGTGAGGAAGTGGTTCTTGGTGTTCTTTTAATTTACGTGATGGTGCTACTTAGTGATTTTAATTTAAAATTGACAATAGCTGTCTCTGCAGTTAAGGGTATGTATTGTCCCTAGAAGTAACTTTCACAAATTACATTGTAAAATTTATAAACTTGTAAAATCAGAATTAACGTATAATATAATAATGTCTCGTGGTGTATTGTTTCATTTACTAAGACAAGAAAGTGGTGCAGACAAATTTCTTTGAATCAAGTTATGTAATGGAAACACATGAAGAAAGCTTGTAATGATCATTTGTGATCTAACTTTTCACTCAGCCTATTAAACTATCACAGATTCTACACGGCAATGGAGTTTCGACTATTCTTTCCCTTTTACAACAAACATTTTTTTATCACAAAACTATTTTACTCACTAATGAACTCCAAGATAATTGCATTCTAAAAAGTATTTCGTTTTTATGGCCAGGAAAGTGAATGAAATTTCGTCGTCTTCCACAGTTTATGCAACGAGTTAGTACCGTAAAAATCATAAAGTATTTTATGCATTTTAATTCCTCGTTAGGCCTTTCTTTCTTCAGGAGGGTCAGCTAATGTTTGTCAAGTAATAGATTTTTGCGTCATGATAATCTTATAAAAACTATAAGTTTGATATGGAATCATTTATTGGTTCTACGCACCTCACATACAGATTCTTTTTTTTCATCTTCTTAAAACAAAATGGAGTGCAAAATAATTGCTTTGAAGTAATCAAATATCTACATGATTCGCCCAAATTTGTATTTCGCATAATATTTGTCTCCAAGTATCTCCCACCAGTGGGCCACCGCCTCAGTAGGGAAAAGCCCTATGCTCCCCAACTGGCATTCCGACATGCGATGGTGTAGTGTTTGCAAGTGTAAGTGTGTGTAAGGGATGAAGATAGGATTAGGAACAGAAATAAAGGAAGATCGCGCGCGGTCCGTGGTCCGTTTGTTACGGTATTGCTCCAGGAATTGCGCCTGGAATTGCTTAGAGAAACCACGTACAACTACTGACCATGGCAGCCGACCAATAGAATTCTCCTCCAGTCAGCCGCTGAATTCGACCTAGCTCAGTAGCTAGTGTCGAAAATCAGCAATGGACGGGTCTCGAACTCTAAACTCTCCCGGTGAGAGGTACTGCAGTGCTATGAGTTGATGTCCTGAGCCAGCTCAGCCTATCAAAGCCAATCGATGACCCCACTCCACAGAGAATTCGCTGTTCTTCAGATCCCGTCCGCAGGGTCGCGCCGCTCTGCAAGATCGTCTTCCTTTCGGGCCAGGCCGCCTGCCCGTCTGCCCGCCCGTGCCCCACTTCCTGGATAAAGGTCGCGCGCTCCTGAAACATTAACAGGGCCCCGTCTGATTTACGTCCCCCGTCGCGCCGGCCCCTCTCCTCTCCGCCCCCTCCTCCTGAACCCGCCCACCTCCCTTCAACCCACATTCGCTCCTATGTTAAATGCATTTCGCGGAGGTCGCTTGCTCCGGCAGAGTTGCTTCTTTCCATATAATAGTCGGGAATTCCAACGCTCTGCTTTTGTTTGGACAGTTTTTTGGGATTCCTGAAAAATAGTTGAGATACCTATTTTCGTAAGGAAAGTCAACATCATTTTTGTATGTAAAGTTTTCAGCAATACTGATGGGACATCTCAAATTATTAAATAGATTATTTTCGAAAACTTGAATATTCTGCTTCTTTCTTAATTCTTATCTATTGTCTTCTAACTTTTCGTTCGAATCGTGTTTTATTTTAATTAAACAAAAATATTGAATTGTATCTGTGGAAATCTGTCATTTATATCAGTTGTGAAATTTAAACCATTACTTTCGAATATCATAGGTCCCCGTCTCAATTTACGTTCCCCCTCTCCCTCTTCACTCTGCCCGTGCTCTCCCGCCCGCCCTCCCTTCAGCCCAGATTCATAGTAAAATTCACCTTGCCGAGTATCGCAAACTTCGTAATATAAAAGAATACCTCTCCATTATCTTTCTTTGAAAATGTTTGGATTCAGATATGACATCTCAATTTTCTACTTCCTCAAAATTATTGATTCTTGAATTTTAAAAGTAAGGTTTTCGGCATTAAGGATGTATTAGATCTCAATGTAACGATTGTAACCCTCAATGTAACGATTGTTTGTTCGATCTTCTTGCGATTAGATATTTCAGTTTTACATTTATACAATTTCGTGTCATATCGCAATGGGGTACAATTTATCTTCTTTAACTCATCGTTAAGGGGGCTCCGTCTAATTTACGTCTCTGGTCCGCCAACCGCGTCTCCATCCATTCCATCCCTCACTCGCCCCATGTCCTCCCTTCCTCTTCGCTCTTCCTTCTCCTTATGTTAAATGCATTTCCTCAAAGTCGTGAGGTACTCCAGAGAGTCTTATTCCTGTGTAATCATGAGGAATTTCAATTCAATGCCTGCATTTGAACTACCCAAACCGATCTAGGCAGCGACATTGTCAAAATATGCTTCATTCATTAGATCTGTTAATGATCGCATGATATATCTTCTCATAACTTATTTCATTTACTCCTTTCTTTTGTTCTTCTCTGTTTGGAAACCGTCAATATTTTTTCCTTTTTTGTTTGATATCTTTTGTTTTTTTATTTATTCCTTCATAAAAAGACAGAGATTCATTAATCATGGAAAAGTGAATGAAATTATCTTGGATTAAATCATTTCTTATTGCTTTTACTTATAGATTCTGTCCCACTCCCACTGAAGAACCTTATAATTTAACTTTTACTTGTCTCTCGATCCCACAATGCCCAAAATATTTTTAGATCTAATATATTTATTGTCTTTCATTTTCTCTTCGTCGCAAGTTTCATTCCCACATTGCAGTGTATTAAGCGCTTTCAACATTTTTACTTTCGTTTTAACATTTGATTCTTTATCGTTTGCCCTTGACAACGTATTAGCTAATATTTCATTAGCAAGCTCCAGCAGTTTGTACAGTCCAAATATTCTATTGCCCTTTCACTACCTTTCTATCTCCCATATATCTTCCATAATATTCATTGCCTTCAACATTATCATCACTCTTGCCTCCCGCATCTTCTGCTCTTTACACTGATCCCTCTACCCCTCACACCGCCCCTGGCTAACATGCATTACAACAATCTTCACTCTGTCCACCCCACCTCGCCCTCGCTGCACTCAGCCTGCATCTCCTATCTAAAATATTGCCCTCCCCCTCACCCAACTTTCCACCGTCGCACCACCTCAACCTGCGCACAATCATAATATTTCCACCATCTCCTACTCCGTACCGTCCTAACGTTACACTATCCAAATTTTCGAGTCGCTCCAACTTCTGTGCCATGTCAACTTCCCAACTATCCCAATCTCCGCACTATCCCTTCCTCCATTCCATCTCTACTTCCGCCGACCTAATCCCCTCCACACCTCCCTAACCTCTGGCACCGTCCTACCCTCCGCACTATCCCAACTTCTGTTCAATATTAATTTACATACTGTCCCCAATCTCCGCAGCACCCAATGCTCGGTACCGACTCATCCTCCAAAACGCTCCAACTTCCATATCATACCATCACCTACGATCTGTCTCCACATTTCACCATTCAACCATTCACCTCCACCATTAAAACTTCGCAGCGTCTCCATTCTGCGACAAGGCAACTTCCATATTATCCCAATTTACAAAAATCTTAAAATCCACACCATTAAGACGTCCGTCCCGTTTCAACATCTACTACCCTACTCTCTACATCGCCCTAACTTTCACACCATCCAAAACTCCGCATCGTCCCAACATTCGCAACGTTCTAACTTCAGCTTCATCCCAACCTTTCTACATCTCTATCCCTCTCCGGTCTAAAATCATTCACCCCCGTAACCGTCGCTCCGGCCCAATATTTCCAGCAAACAAATCAACTTCTACGCTACACCTACCTCACAGACATTTCATCCCAGCACCACTTCAACCTCTGCACCTTCCCAATTCCATACTGTTCTAACCTCCGCACCCTCTTACCCTCCCCACTGCCCCAAACTCTTCACTGCGCCAACCTCCTCACCTCACCAATCTCACCGCCTCAACAACCTCACTTCCCCAATTTCCATACTGCCCGTGCCGTCTCAACCTCCGTGCTGCCCCAACCTCCGCATCGTCTAAGCCTCCGCAAAGTCCCAAGATGCGCACCGCCTCAACCCCGGCACGGCCCCAACGCTAGCACCGCCCTAACCTCTGCATCCTACCGAACCTCCTCATTGCCCCAACCTCCCACACCCGTCCTACATCTGACCACCATATCTTCGCACACCCCAACCCACACGCTCAACTCACATCGCTCAACCTCTGCACCGCTGCAACCTCCGCACACGCTCAACCTCCCCGGCATCACACCTCCGCCCGCGTCAGCCTTCGTCACCTGCCTCAACCTCCTCCACCTGCCTCAACCTCGCACGCCTCAACTCGCACCGCCTCAACGCTCCGCACGCCTCACCGCTGAACCTCCGCACCGGCTCAGTCTCCGCACGTCCAAGCCCCGCCCGTCCTTCTCTCCGCGGCGCTTGCGCCGCGCCGCCAGCGGCTTGCACTGGTTAAGGGCGGCGACGCGGCGGACGTGTGCAGCGGAGGGGAGGCGGAGGGTCGCGGCGAGGACGTGGGCGGCATGCGGACGCGGCGCTGCGCCCCACCCCACCCCTCCCCTGCCACGAATTCTCTTTCCCTCCGCCGGCGACAGAGCCCCCGCGGCGCTGCACTCGCTGCAGCCCCTCGGGACCAAACACCGCTCTGCGCTGGAACATCGGATAGGCCTGCGCGTTAAGGAAAACTGGAAAACAGGCCGGCTAAGACACCAAGGTCTACTTCTAAAGCAGTATGGCTCCGTTTCAAGTTTACGAAAATTAATTTAAGAATGTTTTTCTTTATAAACTGTTTGTTAGGAGTAATTCTATAATGAATTATATTGAATAATAGCTGTTTATGTGGCGTTGCCCGAGTGGTTTTATGACAATAATCAATTATTACCAATTAAACATTCAATTCGCCCTGTCGCTCTATTCGTCCCGGACCTGGAGCATCTGGAGTTCGCATTCTCAAGCTGACTGATTTTTGACACTAGTTGCATAGCTTGGTTACTGGAGGAGCTGAATGGAGAGGAATTTTAGCGGTCTATGCTCTAATCGGCACTTCTCTTTATTTCTTTCGATGAATAACTTGCTCAAAACCTTAACAAAGAGGACACAGACCCCGCGCGATCTTTCCTTCTCAATGTTGCCACTCCTCTTCCCTTACATTCACAATGTGATTTTGAGTTGAAGCTCTTGAGTGGTGGTAGAGCGTATTTTCTTCAGAGCGTCAACAGAAATATTGGGGCAGTAACCAAAAGAATTGTTGTTATTCGTGTAATATTAGAATAATAATCTATTTGGTATGTTTTATTTTTATATATAAGGAAATATTACAGAATATATAAAGAACTTCGATGCGTATATTGACCGCTAAGAGTAAACAGATTCTAAAGTAAAATAGCCGCTATGTCCCTAATGTGGAATGCGAGAATTGTTCTAAAGCATCTATTCCCTATGATGGAGTTATATGGTCCATGAGCTCAACTGATTAGACTTAGTTAATCCAAAAAAGAATTTCGACTGCAGGAATTGTCTGTAATATTAACCAAATATATATTTTTGCATAAATAAACATTGTTCTAGACGTTAATGCATTTATCATTTGGTAAAAAAAAGCATTCACTATTCCTCTTTAGCAAGTGGATACGCCTAATGTGCAATATATATAGAGACCTTTTCTAATTACGAAATATTGTGAATTTCTAATCGATTTATGTGAACAATATTAACCACGCTTGTTTATAAATTATTAATTTAAATAATTATCTGCACTAGTATTCACAATTCCGCTTATTTGTGAAGTTGTAGACGAAAATTTAAAAACGTATTTCACATTCAGGCACATTACTATACAAATATTCACTTTCAAAACGTTGACGTTTTGAAATATTTTATATCAGTAAAAAATTAGAAAATACATTGTTGATTTAAATGTATGTGTGAAATTAAAACACGCAGTATGTTGGATACGTCTAAGTGCCCCTTAAACTCACATTCAGGTAGCAATCGTCGACCCGTACTCGTGCCAGCAGACCTTGACCACATCCTGACCTCATTCACCACGACATATAAATTCAAAATCTATTCCATGGCAGCGAATGCCTCTGGATCAATACAACAGAATTATTTAATGCTACATCAGAGCAGGGTCAGTAATACCTGACGGACGCGGAAACGCAGAAGAGGAAGGTACCGTGACCTTTTAGAAATCCTTTTTAGGGAGTAAAACAACTAGTCTTCGGTTACTAAGTAAAATTAAGATTTTATCCATATTTCTATTTTATTTTCTAGTTCATTATAACTCAGTTTTGGTGTTTATCAAACATTTTCCAAGACAAAGTGCCTAACACTAGAAAAATTTAAAGTTATGAATTCCGTCACTAAAAAACTCAACATTTAATTGAAAAAAAAAAAACAGAAAAACATCCACCCTGCAAATTTAACACTTACGATTCACTCCCTTAAAAACACTTGAAAATTATCATTGTTTTTAATTTGAAAAATGAAGAAATTAGACAAATAATTCACTTCTCTCTTGATTAAAACTATCTAAATTCTTCAGTAACAAAATAAACTACATGATGTGATTGTGTTCGTTGGCTTTAACATCGCAGACTTCAATTCCAGAGCATTGTTTTACCTAATTTAACCTTTGGTAATATGTCATATTTTCCATTAAATTATAGTTGCAATTTAAATTCGAGCTTTGAATAATAAATTCCCATTGCCTACGGTTAGTCCGTACATTCAATATTTATAGCAGAATTAGAATTGATCTTCTAATCTTTACCAAGCCCTTCATGCATTTGAGGAAGATTTTTAAAGAACATGAAAAAGTAATATCAAATGACAAAAAGTTTCTGAAGAAATGTTCATCATTTTAAATTTACATACTCGTACTACAACTCACCTTAGGTATTGAAGAACGAGTAAAACCTCGCATGTACGAGTACGCTAGCTAGTCCCTGCTTCCTTATCACTCCATTTCTGCCTGTCATTACACCCCTAATCCATCTTCTTGCTCTTTACTTCTTTCATCACCTTTGAATAAGTTCTTTTTACCATCACATCTCAACTTGAGAGTGTAGACTCAATGGCCGCGAAGATATTTTGTCAACAATCGTCGTATTATCTCCCATCAAATTTTTGCTGCACTACTAAAAAAATAATTAAATAACTGACCAAGTCGTAGTTATTGATTAATATAATCAGTGTAAAATTTACAATGCAAACATCCCACCCTCACCTTTTTAGACTTTTCTGTTGTGTCATCAGTACCTTCATCCTTAAACTCGCCATTAGTGAATCACTCTCTGATCAGATTGCAGGGAGTTTCTCGAGATGACAAGGGATCCAGCCCGAGCAGTATTTAGGTGGCAAAGCTGTTTGCATGCACAGATGTTTCAGCAACCTCTTCTAACGCTTTGGAGGTCCAGATGTTTAGGCGGCAACTGATGCTAGCGCTTTGTTTGCGAAGATGTTCCATCGTCACAGACTGCCATCGCCTTGTATTCGCAGGTGAATGGGCGGCACTAGCTGATCGTGAAGTTTAATCGCTGATGCTCTGTTTTGCACGCTCTAACGACTTTCAAGCGCAGGTACTCCGGCGATAAGGCTGCTAGTGACATCCACATGGAGATGTTTCAGAAACAACCGCAGGTGGTGACTCGCATGCGCAGATGTTTCAGCTCCACCAACTGTCATCGTCTTGTATGCGCGGATGTTCCGGCCTTGTATGCGCTGATGTGGCTGGCGTACTAACGGCCAGCGCCTAGTATTTTCATATTTTCCAGTCGCCCCAATTGCCATCGCCTAGGATAAGCAGATGTTCCAGCCGCATCAACTGCCATCGACTTGTATTCGCAGATGTTCCAGCCGCACCAATTGGCATCACCTTCTATTCGCAGATGTTCCAGCCGCACCAAATACCATCGCCTTGCAGACGCAGATGATTCCGCTACTACCGCTTTGCATGCCCAGATGTTTTATCGCCAACCGCTGCACTCGCCTTGTCCGCGCAGCTGTTCCACGGTGCCGTGTGTGCCGCTGCGCAGGTGTTCCAGCGCCACCAGCTGCTGGTGGTGAACGGCGACGCGCTGATCGCGGACCCGGTGCCGGAGCTGCGCCGCATCGAGCGCTTCCTGGGGCTGGAGCCGCGCCTGGGGCCGCACAACTTCTACTTCAACCGCACCAAGGGCTTCTACTGCCTGCGCAACGCGACGGCGGGCAAGTGCCTGCGCGAGAGCAAGGGCCGGCGCCACCCGCGCGTCGACCCGCGCGCCGTCGGCAAGCTGCGCCGCTTCTTCGCCGAGCACAACCAGCGCCTCTACGAGCTGCTCGGCCAGGACCTGGGCTGGCCCGAGGAGTGAGCGGCGGGGCGGGTGCGCGCGAGCGCGAGCGCGGGCGGCGGCGCGGCGGACAAAACTGGCTGGGTGGTGGACTCAGGAGGCGTTCGCATGCAGAGCGATGATGTCTGCTGAATTAGTGGATGGTGATTTATTCATGACTGGGGTCATTCTGGATGGTTGTAAAGCGAATTGACGTTGGATGTGGGTTGACGGATCGCTCAAAACTGGAGTGATGATGGTTCAATGGCTAGCTCTTTGATTGGATGAGTTCCGAACAACGGGTAACTAGACGCGATGACGAATGGTGGATTGGTATTCAAACAAAGTTGCATTGTCGTGTAAACAATTATTCAAACGTGTTACGACCACTCGACTGGCTAGGCGTTCAATATCAGAACTCTCCTTCAATGGTTGATAAATCCTTCAATTAGTTTATTACTTTGGACTTTTTTACATTAATTCTGAAGTAAAGCAATCGGTTCACTTATCGAATTGTCGAAAAGTGAAATGTCAAGTCTGACGCATTGGTTATTACTAGATAATATTTAGCAGAAGAATGTGTTGAATGGTTCAGTCCATCATGGACGCAGCACTCCGGCAGAGGAAGAAAATGGACGAGGAAATGTCGATAGATTGATCGTACATACTAGGACCATTATATCATCTTATTGTTAGCTGGTTTAGTCTTCCACTCAAACGCAAAACCGATTGCTTTCTAAGAAATTCGAATGAATTCTAAAATATTTTCTTTCAAATTGACAGTGCAACTCTTCAAATAATATTTCGTATGTACGTATCATAAGCTTATGAAGCAATTTGTTCAGAGGTGTATGAAAATGTAGTTCTTTGAACAGCAATTTGATCATACCAATACATAATTGAATGCTTTTGTGCATCTCATATCAACGATCCACCAATTGCTCGCATTACCATTTACAAAACAATAGCTACATACGAGTACGTTACTCTTGCTCAGCCATCCACTATCTGTCAAACACCAAACGGCCATCCACCACCTGCAGCCTGATTGTTACGCCATTGGTAGCATTGAATGGGACAAGGTCGCCATTGCCGCCGCCACCGCCCGCGTCCTCGCGTTCCGTCTCTCTCTCTCTCTCTCTCACCCTCTCTCTCTATCTCTCTTCTCTGTCGCGTGGCGGGGCCGGGTTCTGGGCAGTGCGCGAGCGAAGGAGCGAGTCACGTGGCCCTCGACGTCACGACGAGTTGCTGGTACACGAGACGTCCAGTGAAGTCACATGACGCGATACGTTCTACAAAACATGTCTGACTGAATTATGAAATGCTCCAAGACGCGAAACTGATCTCGCAGCGAAGCGTTTGTTGAACACTCGTTAGTCAGCTCGCGTCACGTTGCTTCAGCTGATGACTCTATCTGTGGGAGGAACCGCTCGTGTAAAGATTATGACGATTGATATGCAGATTAATCCAATAAGCTGAATGTGCTCATTATATGTTGATTTCAAAGAACGGTTTGATGGATGTGATGAGAAAGAAATGCTCAAATCACCATTAGTAAAGGAGTGTCGTTCACCGAACTGACGAAGGTTTTTGCACATTCGATATTGTCACGGTTCCTCCCCTATCGGTCTGGTTCAGGCAGCCTCGCGAGGTTAGAGGACAGCCGCTATGAAGGCGGCAACCCGGGTGAGAAGTCGCGAGGCTGTTATCGGACTCCTTCCAACGCAGACGCCACAGGAAATACAGCTTTTGCTGCTGATCGTTGGGATCCCCACGCGAACATTGTCACATCGGTCGCTTGGTGGTCGTCACACACACTTTACAGCCCAGTGTTCTCAGCAGTGTACTATACTCTTGCTTGGCTTTAGGTAGTCTTGCGTGGAAATAAAACGACGATATGTTCTCGTAAATATCTAAGAGTAATAAAACTGCAATGGACGAAGGAAACTTCATTTCTTTCGCATTAAGTTTTCTCCAGAATAGTACGGAGTTCGTACTTTGCTGAGAAGTATAAAAAAACGATTGACGTAGAGAAATTATCATTGTTAAGTTATCCGCTCGCGAACCTAGTAGTGCAGCACGACCACCAATTATTTTCGTGAATGCCCGTTTTTTCGCACTGATGATGGGAAGCCCAAAATGTGATATTTCAGTCAATACGTCGCGAAGGGTCTGCGAAAATTAAGACCTGGAGGTGCACTCAGAACCTGGCCCCTCCCAACGGATCACATTGGTCCTTGACGTCTACATATGTTTAAGATATAAATTATTATATTTTTATAATCCATATTGGAGGTTGTTACTGACTGTTAAACCAAAAGTACTCTGTAAGTAAGGTGAGCAATACAGCAGGCGGCGGAGTTCTCTGCAGTGTTTGCGGTAACTAGGAAAGATGAATTCTTTCTGGTAGGTAAGGCAAACTGCGTGTCTCCTCGACATGTAAAGGGAGCGACTGACAGAAGCGATGATGAGTAACTCAAGCAATACATATCTACGCACATATCTTACGCGGAACAACTGTACCTGCACTGACCTACTCTACACGAGCGAGAGCCGTGTGGATCGGGTCCTGAAACACCAATCACCGCAAGACGATGATGGGCGGGCGCCAATGGTGGGGGACGTGGAGACTGAATGGAAGTGTCGAATCGAGTCTCCCGGGAACAGGCGTGAGAGCGGGAAAAGGCAATCACGTTACGTTTGTTTCGAACAAGGACGTTTCCAATATGCCTCGAGAGCAAAGCTGTTAAAAATTCCACGCGGCCGCTGCCAAAGGTCACAGGTTGCGCGGGTGAACAGCACGAGGGGATGCAGCACGTGGATCGCGTGCCCCGCTCAGTGATTGGATTGAGAAGGGTGAAGCACGGGGGGACGAAATTGGTCGGGAAGAAGGTGAACACAACGAAAAGGGTAGCGAGATAATTTTCGGTAGATGTGCTAACATCAGGCGGCAAACGCCTAAAATCGTTAAATTTCATATCGTTAAATTTCATTTTTTTGAATAAAGTTGTGCATTTTTTCTCATACGAATAATGAGAAAAGGGTGGGAAAATGATTTTCGGTGGATGTGCCAAAATTATGAGTCAAAATCTGAAATTATAATATTTCATATTCATATATAATTATTTTTTTGGGCAAAAAGTTGCGCAAATATTCTCGAATACATTGCATGAGCGTGATGTCAAGTACGTCCATTCGTTCGCCAGAGGCGGTAGGACGTAGAAAAATGAATATAAATCTTCGGCCTTATGAGATGGAAGTCTGAAATATTAATTGCTGCACAGAAATTCATCATATACTTTCTCATATACATTTTGTGTGATCTATAAAGCAAGAATAAATGTCTGATTAATGAACGTACCTTTAAAATATCTTTAATTGATTATAATTAATAATATAATTATGTTATTCCGCTGGCTTCCAATGGCGAGGCCTGTGATAAAAAAATGATGAATAATGATGAATGAAATGTGATGAATAAAAAATAATCACAATCTCAAGCAACATATTTTCAGAGAATCAATATGCGAATTCGTAATCTCTAAAAAGTGTTTGAAAATTTTCCTGATACAAGCCACAATTTGTAGGGAAAATCCCTGACAAGAATGAGTTAATAATATTCTGTTTTAGAGGCAAAATGGAAAATTAATAGTACAAATTTCATCGTTAGTATTTTTGTCTGTTGAGTGTGAGTTGGAGTGATGTGTTGAGTGTGTGTGGACCACTTTTTGTTGTTTTTTTTCACGTATATGCAACAAAAACAATTACACCACGATGATTGATATCTGCCTTAATCTTTAACCCATTGTTCGTGAAAAATATAATGAACCACTACTAAGGAACTGCATTCCACTTGCAATCAAAATAAAATAAACAACTAATCATATATAAAAGTAAAAGATCAACGAAGCATTTACAAAATATCAACAAGAAATTAAAACTAATTGGCACGAATCTCATATTTGCTATTTACTAATCGTGAGTGCCAACGGATCTAACGCATGCGAGGGCCCTATAAACAAACAGTATCCGTCCGGCAGTTGATGAACGTCCGACAGAACCGACCTCTCGTACACGTATGGAGATGAAGAGGGGATTTTTTCGCACACAAGAGCCCATGCGTGGAACATTCGAAAAATAACAAAAGTGGTTCCGCTACATACAAGTGTTTTGTTCCTCTCTTTCTCAAGCAACGAGCTCATTTCGCGAGTTGCTAAGCCTGAGTGTCAAACGCAGACTTCAGTTCCGTAAACGCGAAGGCCCCACATGATTGTTGATTAGCAATATGATCACTAGACCGACCTTTCCCACTCAAATTGGGGTTGAAGAGGGACACATTGATTCGTTCAAGGCGATACACCCAAAGAACACTCACCGAAGCACTAACAACATACGAGCGTTCGGTTCCTTTCTCTCTCAAACAATGAACGGCGGAGACAAGAAAATAAATTGGCGCCCAACTCATTCTGTAAGTGGTTAACCATGAGTTTCCGTCGGATCTAACGCGTGATTAAAGCTCAGTGAAAGCGCAGGTCCCTCATGACAGTTGTCGAGCCCACCGTACAGAGACCAAGGGCAAGGGGCAAAGTGGAGGAGCAGGTCTTTGATTCGCATACTGCGGCACTCACTCACTTAGGCACACACGCGGCAAGCACTCCACTCGCACGCACACTCAGCCACGCCGCCGTCGCCACCGAAATATTCACGGGCGGGCGCTCCCTCCGCCCCGTGCGGCGTGGCCGAGGTCACGCAAGACTCGAGCGCACGCGTGCACGCGCGCGCGCGTGCGTGAGCAGCGCGCGTGACCCCGTGCCCCAGTTGCGCCCCCTGCTGGGTATCGACCCGCGACCCTCGTGCCCCGCCCCCCGCCCCCCTCCCCCCTTGCCGCTCGACGGAGTGAAGGTCTGTGGCGCTGGAAGGCGATGCAGCGGTCGCCTCTTTGCATAGGGCAAGGGCGGGCTAGAGGCCAGTGGATCACTGGCGAGTGTTTGCAAGGCTCAGCGCTGCACGGAGTGGAGGGCAAGGTCGGACGGAATGGAAGAGGGTTAACAATACCGTCTTTCTTTAGAGCTCCCTCCCCCA